AAATGTGTATAAGTAAAACCAGGATTTATGTAAACTTCCCTAGAAAAAATAAAAGCAATAAGGGATCTTAAAACAAAAGAAATAAGATCTACGGTGATTATGGGCGGATTTGGCAGTGGGCTACACTAGGTTGTAGTCCACTGGTGTCCAAGCCCAGATGCGTTAAAAATAAAGGGGAATTGGTTGTAGCTCATTGTTGTTCAACAGTTCAAGTCCACTGTTGTACAATCCGTCTAACCATCAAATTCAATTGGTTGTAGCTCATTTGAAAACTCAATTGAAATAATTAATTCACGAACCCTTTCACCCATATCTTTTCACGGTTTCACCTTCAGGCTTCAACATTTCACCCATCCCTGGAGAGTAGAGACGACCGCCGTCCGCCGAAACCTTCAGCACGGTTTCAGTATTTCACCACCCCTGGAGGCGACCGCCGTCTGCCGGCCCTTCACCACGGTTTCAGTATTTCAGATTTTCAAACTCTATCTCTGTGCTTCAGTCGGCCCTTCACTCTTTAGGTACAAAAAGAGTCGGTGAATCCATGGGTGTGATTGTGTGAATGAAATTTCAAATGTATTATGCATTATTTAGATTAGACTTGCTAGTTGTTAGGTCATTTGGTAAATCCATTTGATTAAGGCTAAATGAGGTAGAGTGACTCGCAGAGACATATGAAGGAGAACGACAGAATTGTTAAGGACAGATTAATATTAAGGACACGGGACACATTAACTGATTAACATATATTTTTCTTTTTAATCGTGTTTCTTTAATCTGGTTTGCTAAAATGTTTCTTAGTCTTCGAGTTTTTTGGCATACTGTAATGTATAATGGGAATTGTAGAATTATGTTAAGGACAGAAATTTGGGAAATGTTAGCTTTGGGAATTTAGCTATGTTAAATTTTGAAAATGAGAACTCTGTGCTCATTACATATGATATTATCTAATGATAGGAATTTATAGGATATTGAAGTATTTTAATATTTATGCTTTTAAGTTTAATATGGAAGAAAATCAATCTTCTTCTAAGAAAAGAAGAACATTGTTATCTTTCTTTTCAAAAAACAATAAATTTCAGGGTATTCCAATTCCTATGTCATTCACTCTAAATTCAATTTCATCTCCTGGAATTGAACGGCATTTATCTTCTAATCTTAATTTGAAACCATTTGATTCTATTGAACGAAAC